AGGGACCCCTCCCAGGGTGGGTGGGGACATGGGGGGCTCCGCTGTCACCTGGGCAGGGGCTGGTTCTGGTCGGTGACGAAGCTGCTCTGGAGCTGGAGGTTGCTGTAGCACTCGTTGTCAGAGCCACATTCCTTCTGGAACTCGATCTGGAGGGACAGGGATGTCCCTGTGAGCCCCTGTGGCCCCCCAGGACACCCCAGAATCCCCCTCCCCACCGGCACACCTTGGTCTCATTCTCGTGGGACTGGTCCTGGTTGAGGACAGGGAAGGAGTCGAGGGAGTGGGGGCCCAGCTGGAATGTTCTGGGCTTCTCCTGCAGCGAGTAGTTCATGGAGAGCACAATGGGGTGCAGCTTGTCCCGGATGTTGTCCTGAGGGGTGGTGGGAATCACAAAAAAGCCCCTCATAGATCCCTCCCTGGCCCCCACTGCAGCTCCAACCACAGCCAGGCAGCCCTGAGACACTTTTGGGGTATCCCCTCCTACTCACAGCCTGCTGTGAGACCCAACAAACTCATCACAGGAGGGAGGGAAACAAGGGAGGGAAGGAGGGAGCGAAGGAGGGATGTAGGAAACAATGGAGGGAGGGAGAGAGGGAAGGGAAGAGGGAAGGGGGAGAGGGAAGGGGGAGAGAGGGTGAGGAGATGGGTGGAGAGAGAGAGAGAGAAAGGAGGGAGGGAGAGATGGGATGAAGAGAAGGAAGGAGGAACGTAGAGAAGGAATGGAGGGGGGAGAGAGGGGAGAGGAAGAGAGAGGAGGGAAAGAGGGTGGGATTTCGCTCTTTCCCGAGCCTGCCATTCCCACCATCCCTGTCCCCACGCCCAGGAGCCAGTCCCGCAGCCCCAGCCCCGCTCCCAGTGCAGTCCCACCCGCTCACCAGCAGCAGGAGCTCCTGGGCCTGGCAGCGGGTGTCGGGCATGGTGAAGCTGCCGGTGTAGGTGGCAGACGGGGACCCCGCAAACCTCACCCTGGGCGGGTGCCGGTCCTTGTCCGCCTCCAGCGTGTACTCCAGGGCTGCGGGGAGGGCAGGGCCAGGGTGTGACACACGCGTGTGCCCCCAGCACACACCTGGGCACCC